TATTATTATCTACTCATCATAAGGGCCAGATCTGCACTTCATACAGAAATTGAAAATAATTGTTAGATTTTCTTTCACTAATTCTGTAAATTGGTAGCCAATTACTTTGCGCCAGGATAGTGGTGGATGCTGATGAAATGTAGACTACTTAGCTTCTGGATTGTGTATATATCACCAAGACGACTAGGTTATGAAGGAGAGAACGGACGACGGTATGAACTCGGTCTAAAACTTGGCTCTTTGAGGACCCTACAAGTCAGTATGCTCACTTGACCTCACCTTGAAGCCCCCATTTTCTACCTTTTTTTCATTTCAGCTCCATCAGAGCCGACGCACTTGCTGATTGTCGATGTTCGTGAGGATTCGGCGACCCTAAACTGGGATATGCCTGCCTCACATTTTGGTGGCATAGAAAGCTACGTTGTCCAACTTTTTTTGGCCAATGACACCTTGAATTCAATTGCTACAGTGAGAAATCCTCAAAGTGTCACATTATATGTTTAGCTGCTTATTTACATTTTCTGTTACCAAACTTAATGTGAAGATAAAAGACAATTGTTTATAAGTGACCCGACAAAGTAGGTCTCTGCAAAATGGTACAGTTTCAACAATCGTTTCTCCCATTTTGAAATGGTTTGAACTCGTTCTCGCAACTTGATCGTGTTGCCAGGGCGACATAGTTATGCGCACCTTGTCCGAAGTAGTTGCTACAGTAGTTGTGATAATTCCCGGCTTAGGACCGTTAACCTGGTGCATTCCCAGACGTTTCACCGACATAATCTGTTAGCCTTGTCAGTCTTAGCATCAAGCTACAACCCGTCAAAGAGACAAGCTATGTTGATGACTTGATAAACTTTCTGTCGAACAGTTGTGCCATGACCCCTCCTTCCTTCCCGATACATATTAAATACTTTGGTGCAAGCTTATGAGCTAAAGTACAAAAAATGGAAAGTGGACCATGTTTTATGATGAAATTTACAAAAAGGATTTGAAGTCTTAGCTGAAGGTAGTAAGCATTTAATTCTATGCATATATCAATCAAAGTTATAGAAATTTTGTAAGAAAAATAGAGATAAACAGCCACTAGAATATTATAGAGCACTATTTATGAGTAAACTTG